CATCTCTTTCTCATCTCTCTCATCTCTTTCTCATCTCTCTCATCTCTCTCCTCTCTCTCTCTCTCTCCTCTCTGTCTCTCGTCTTTCCGTCTCTCTTCTCTCTCTTCTCTCGCAGGAGGATCCGGGCAAAGAGCCACATATAAAGGACTCTTCACCCCTGCCTCCAAAAAGAGCGCCGTGTTTTTTCCTACCTCGCTGCCCTCCACTTTCCCATTCTGGAGCGCTAGCTTTCGCCCGCCCCCTTGGCCTCAAGTTGAGCGTAAACGTGTAAAATGGGTTTTCACCGGACATGTGCTGGTTTTGAGCCAGTATACCGCAGCCATAGTCTATGTTTCAAGCCAAGTCGACGTCCCAAGGATCGTGTTGCTGTAAATATTCTGGAACATGTTGCAACGTGTTGTAGTTTCTTTGAGGGAAGAAGTTGGGAAGCATGTCTCGCGCCCTTTCGCCCTTGGCGGCTGCACATGCTCAGCGGCATAGGCCAGCAGGCCGCCTCGATGTGGCTTGGCACTACTGACACTACGTATCAGTCCAAGCATGAAAGAGCTGCCAAACAGACAATAAGGAAAGGAAATCACAGCTGTGCGTGAAAGGAATCTGCCACAAGAAGAATACCAGCCACATCACCGCTCTCCAGGGCCCACCTTCAACAGGCTGAGGGACATTCTATCTTTGGCAGCCAGCTAGTTTCAGAACAGTTTGATCCAGTTTCATACCCACCAATTTGCAGATTTCAAGAGCTCTCATTAACAATCCTATGAGAATCTTCCAACTGCCAGGAATCAGCTGCAGGAAGCAAGAGAGAAGTATCCCCTCCAGGAGAGAGTCGGAGAGCTCCACTACTTAACCCTTATTCACCATGTCACTGCTTGAGAAGGGACGCACAACCGTAAAATGCAGATTTCCTCGACAGACTGCACTGTATCGATCAGTTCAGGAGAGGCGTCATCGTCCATGTCGCCTATGTCTCGTGCACACTGTGGGGCCAGACGTCCATCCGAGTCGTTGTGGCCCGCCTTTGGGTAGGCTTTGGGCTGAAAGGGAAGTCGTTACTGTAAGGATCTGTAAGGTCATGAAAGGTCAAGATTTAATTGATGCTCTTAGGTTGGAGGCCATCGCTACTAGGTTGGAGGCCATCGCTATTGAGTTCCATCGCTGTTAGGCTTACTGTCTCTTTTCTTTGGTTCCAGTTGGACCTAGGCCCCGCATGTCGCTCTCTCATGAGGGCAACTCGGACTGCACCGCAGTAGTGCTTCTGTGAGCAAGAGTGCGAGACACAGGTTATACGAATCGGGGTGTTCTGCTTGTCTTGGATTATCTCTCTTCGCAATGTCTTTCTTCACTCTCAGTCTTAGACGAGGAGCTCTTCTGAGCAAAAATGAAATCACTGTTTCATGTCCCTCTCTGCCAAGTCTGTGTAAAGGTGAGATGTCTCCGTTGTCCAAATCACATTCAAGCTCCGCCGTGCACGAGCGGGACGAGCGCGAGCATGTCCGAGAAAGGCGGGCCCAGACATTGGCCAGCACAGGCATGATCCGTCGATATATCATGATATGTCGATTTATACAGAACAGGAATCATGGGGAGAATACAGATTGTCTCAGAACCTGTGCGGTCCGATTTGCTTTGCTCCAAGATTTTCTCTCAGGATGCTTTCTGGTGAGCCGTCACCATTGTCAATGGCACATAGCAAAGAGGACCATGTTCGGAAATTCTTCCATAATGAAAGCAGTCCGTGAGTGAGTTCCACCAGTCTAAAATGTTGATTGCTTCCGCTTCAGCGGTTCAAGAGCAGTTGGATTCTTTAGTTTCAGTTCGTTTCTATTCCTTGCCAGTTGTCTGCTGACAACTCTGACTGACAACTCTGGCCATTTTGTGATGTTGGCACTCTCACCTTTGTACAGGTTTATTTTCAGCTTGGCAAAAAGCGACTTTCGTTTGCCAGAACCAGCATAGTCCTGTTTCCACCAACGATCATCTGTGTGAAATATGCAAGCACTCGTGACTCCGTTCCGACGCATACAGATCATTTTTCTGGCATGCGATGCGCAGGTAAATGTCAACATTGATGACGCTGGTTGGGTGAATGTGAATGATTTGCTGACTTCCGATTCTTACCAGCACAGGGATTTTAGATGATTTTAGCTTCTTTTGGCTTATGAAGTGGAACGGACTGTCGAAAAGACAGGAATAGAGCATCCTTTACGCAGAAGGTCCATCAGTACAACACAGCTGAAGGAATCTGCCAGCTGCAGGTCCCGGATGAGTTGCGGCCTATGTATGTAGATGTAGCTCCATTTCTAGCATCCTCTTTCCAACATGTGCAACATGCCCAATTTGATCATGATAATCTTGTTGGTTGGGGGAGCTCAACATCAACTGTATATATATATATAATATATATATATATATGCATATATAATGTGATATATAAGTATATGTATATGCATACACATGCTTTTCAAGCTGGTCTTCAGTTCCAGTGAATCTCAGGACATTCTTGGTGGGACGACAGAAGACAAGATGGATGCCCAGCTGATGGAAGCAACAGAGCACTCGTTACAACTATTTGCCGAGTCATTTGTGGATCCGCCATTAGCAAGGCTTCTTGCCATGATCAGCGAGTCCAATGCACAGAAAACCCGTTACGAGATGGAAGATGATCCGAAGGTGGCAGTTTGAGTGACCCAAAGAACCCCTCTTGAACCAGATTGCCTGTGCGGCGCAGGGGGGCAAGCGTATCCGAGCCATCAGCAAAAGTGGTCTCCTTGGCTTTTTGGAGTGTGCCAGGGATTGAGCGTTTTGTTGCCAGTGCATACTAGACCGAGGTCGGCGTAATGCTTTTGCACGGGAACTGCGTGAGTCTGAAGCTTAGATGACTTTCTTGATTTCTCGAGTTTCCATTAGCATGAACGATGCAACATCAGGAAGGAAAAAAAGGAACGGGAGAAGAAAAGAGAAGAAGGCGAGTGCTCCATGAACCTCTTCTGTGCATTGAGACTTTGATGTACATTTGCATCACAGCTCATGGACCCCATATCACAGAGTTGCCGAGGTACAAACATGTAGAATAGAAAGTGTTTACTACTTACTACCCATCCTTTGTCACTGTGACAACCGTTGGCAGTGACAACAGATCACCGTAATGCATGTAATTAATTCACACTGAGTCGGACACTGTGTAGGATGGAGGGTGGATGTGAGGTTCCACCACGTACAAAGTCCCATCAAGTACCGTGTGCGGCAACTTCCTTCGCATTCTCATGCGGCAACCAGAAACACATTGTGTCACTATTTGCGGTGGTCAAAAAAATGGCCCTTGCAATCACGCAAGCCTCACCTCGAGTCACTACTGGATTTTGGCATTCCAAAGAGCCACTTGGAACTCGCCCAACACGTAGAGCTTCAGACTGCGGCTCTATGGATGTTCAAACACACGCGGAGCCCCATACTGTGGAGCATGTAATTACACTATTGGTCTGTTGGTCATGGTTTCCCTTTCTCCGACTGCGCCATGACGCCAGAAGCACGAGAACAGCAGCGAGAGCGGGAGACGCATGGTCCTCAGAGCATTGCTCAGCTAGTTCAAGGTGGAGATTCGGTCCCATGTTCCTTGTGCTAGAGAACGTAGCTACACCTTATATACCTGTTGCTGTGCAAGGTCACTCTGTGTGAAGGTGTGCATAGGTTGTACACGTTAAAGAACGTTGTACTTACTTTAGAAGGTTGGAGACCATCGCTCTTAGGTTGGAGGCCATTTGTACTAGGTTGGAGGCCATCGCTCTTAGGTTAGAGGCCATTGCTACTAGGTTCGAGGCCATCGCTACTAGGTTGGAGGCCATCGCTACTAGGTTCGAGGCCATCGCTACTAAGTTGGAGGCCATCGCTACTAGGTTGGAGGCCATCGCTCTTAGGTTGGAGGACAGCGCTACTAGGTTTGGAGGCCATCGCTCTTAGGTTGGAGGCCATGGCCACTATAGGTTTGGAAGCCATCGCTCTTAGGTTGGAGGCACTCGCTACTAGGTTCGCGGCCATTGCTGCTAGGTTGGAGGCCTTCGCTACTAGGTTGGAGGCCATCGCTCTTGGGTTGGAGGCCATCACTACTAGGTTTGGAGGCCATCGCTCTTAGGTTGGAGGCCATCGCTACTAGGCTGGAGGCCATGGTAGGTTGGAGGCAATCACTCTTAGGTTGGATGCCATGGCCGTTAGTCTGGAGGCCATCGCTCTTAGATTGGAGGCCATCGCATTGGAGGCCATCGCTCTTAGGTTGGAGGCCATCGCTACTAGGTTGGAGGCCATCGCTACTAGGTTGGAGGC